ACTTTGAGGCCATTCTGGGCTACATAGGGAGACCCTGTCTCCAAAGGTGGGGAGAGGGAGGGATGGGAGGAGAGAGGAAGGGAGGGAGGGAGGGGGAGAGAGAGAGAAAGAGAGAGAGAGAGAGAGAGAGAGAGAGAGAATAAGAAAGAAATTAAGGCCATGCTGGCACACACCTGTCATTCCAACACTCAGGAAACTGAGGCAGGAGGACTGAGAATTCAAGGCCAGCTTGGGCAACACAGAGACCCCATCTCAAGAAAGAAAACAGAGAAAGGGAAAGGTGTGCTACATAGCACCAGAGATTTTTATTACTTTTATTCATTTTCATTTTTTCTTCATATGTATATGTGTATGGTGTGTATGTATTGTGTGTGCACATTCATATGTGTGAAATGTGGGCACGCATGTGCAGAGGTCAGAGGACAACTTTGCATGTCAGTCCTTACCTTCAACCTATGTAAGACAGGGTCTCTTCTTGAGCTGTGAGCCTCTGGGGATCCAGACTCCACTGCCCATGTCCTCATAGGATCCCTGGAAATTACAGACTCTAAGTACCCAGCTTTGTATGGGTTCTGAGGACTCAAACTCAGGTCCTCACACCTGCCCAGCAGGCACTTTTACCCACTGAGCCATCTCCCCAATTCCAGAACCAGAGGTTGCAGACAGCAATGTGCAGTTGAGATCACAGGGGTCTGTGGCTTTTAGCAGAGAATGAATGACAGATGGATGATTTATGATGATTCTTGAGACCTGAACTATAATTATGAAGTATTTCTAGGTATATATTCAGGATGCAAAGTGTACAGAATCCAGAGCTAATGTTAATTTATTACTGACAGCTATATATATGATAATATATCATGTCTTTTAATCTTACATTCCTTCTGACTTACATCGAGAAAACTTTTCATTCATTAATAAAGTCAAGCCTTGCCATTATTCTTAATGATGAAGTTCCATTTTGAACCCAGAGGACTTATAATTAAACTCTGTACTTCCATATACTAGACATCTGAAGCTAAAAGAAAAAAAGGATAAATCGAACTTCTGGTTTTACAAGAGAGGTGAAAAATGTCAGGAAGATGGAACCTACCTGCTCAGCCCCACAGAAGATAAAGAGCCAAGTCTATAATTGTTGCTGATATGGCCATGTGCCTTCTTTTAGCCCTCTTTGCCCTTCCTCTGACTTAGGTCCTTTTTTATTCTTTCGGTGCTAGGGATTGCACATGGTAGACAAGTGCTCTACCGCTGAGCTGCAACTACAGTCCGCTTTTTACTTTGCATTTTGAGACAGGTAACTTTGAGCTCACCTGGTAGCCCAGGCTGAGCTTGAACTCATGGAGATAATCCTGCCTCTGCCTCCTGAGTAGCTGGGATTATGGGGATCTTTCTTTTTTTGAAGCAATGTATTTTTTAAGGTCATGCTGAAAATTACTACAAGGCAGATGTGGTGGCATATATCTGTAATCCTAGTGCTTGGGACATTGAGGCAGGAGGATTCCTCCAAGTTAGATGCTATCTCAAAAACGGGGGTGGGGGGGGAGGTACCTTTAATCACTGTGTTTCTCATACAGGCCACTTGCCTCATTCCACTGTGTGAAAGACTTACATGATTAATCCCTCCAGAAGAAAGCTAATCTAATCTTACCAAGGACAAGTTGTCCTTTAGAAGTATCATAGTTCAAAGAAG